ATAGCATTGCATAGTAATCTCCCGTAAAGGTTTAACTCCTTTCTAGCGTTGTAAGTCTGCAGACATACCGCTGTGCCATTGGGAGGGCAATATAAGAAAGCCAAAGAAAATAATGATGGGATATTGATTTAAAGGAAGGAAATAAAAAGATGATAAGAAGAGATATAAAATAGTTAATATGAATAAGTTTAAGTTAAAAAGCCATTGAAAGAAATAACTTGAATAATCATTAAAAAATAATAGAAAATGTTAAGAATCAGAATAGAAAGAGAAATACTTTTCAAATTAGGTTGTGTAAATCCTTTTGGTATTAATAAACAGTTGATCTTTTTATCATTTTCTTTTTTAATTTTTTTAAAATTGATCAAAATATTTTATTCAACGTTTTTACCTTGTCCATATTAACTGTTTTTTAATTATATTTATGTCTTTATTTTTAATCAATTGCTCATCATTATTTTCTTTTGCTTTGTTATATTGTCACTGCTAAGTTATATTTTTTTTCTTGTGTGTCTATTATATTACATTCTTTTTCCGGGCATTACTTCCTTTCTGAGCATCCTGCAGTAATTTGTCATTAACCGAAAGGTTTGCTTCTGGCTTGTAAAAAAGAGTTTGTCAAACCATCACTAAGGAAATAAAAAATGAAGATTTTTAAAGTGACTTATCTCCAAAAATGTAATTTTTTATTTTATTACCTTCACATTTTTCTGTTTATTCATATAAATACATATTTATAATGGCTTGTTATTTAGATCCAGTCTCAAGATACTCAGCTTATTTCTTCTTACTCATAATCTTAGCATTGTGTATACCTTTTATCTTCTTTATGATACAGGTATTTTTACAGCTGAACTAATAGTGCTTTTTTCTTGAATGGTTGGGTAGTCTCAGAAGCATATGCTTATTTCTTTGTTGTCATTTTGTCTGATTTTTCAAATGCATTTATTGCTTTCACAATAAAAGCAGAATTCTGAATACAATAAAGAGACCAAAAATATCATTTGAAATAACAGCCAGTTGTTAAGTGTTAATGAAGTTCATACCAGTAATTTGAAAATCAAAAATGAGTTAAGAAAGTCCTCTGCATAAGTAAATCAAAATAAATTTATTTGTTATAAAGCAAAATTGTTGTCAGACTTCATCCTAAGCATTATATGTTTGTTCATTTGTATTTTACTGTAATCAAAGATCAAAGGGATTGAGGAGTGTTGACTTAGCTTATGTCATGTGGTTGTAACATTTAGTATTTCATTGAGTCACATAACAATTATATAAAATTAAAGTATCAGACTTCTGTTTTTGGAACAGTTTAGTGGTCTGTACCATGTGAGGTTTCAGATAAGTTTCAAAGTTAGCCAAAATGGTTACTAGTAATGTACCTGATGTAGGGCTCTGTATATTGTTCGAGTGTTATCAAGCTCTTGATACCATGTCAAACACAAATATCAGAAGTGCTTATACATGTAGTCCTGCCTGTGCATTTTCCTTTGTATAATTTCATCCAAAGGGATGCATTTTTGAGTTCATTCAGTTTATAGAATAATTGTTTTTCAACCTCATTATTTTGCCACATCTAACATTGTTATCCAGGTAATCTGTTTTAAATACTTTAAACAATTTCTAATTCAGCAAATAAATGCCATTTGCAAAACATTTCAGAAATAAGTTATTCAGCATATTGATAGAATGTTATGCTAATTATTGAATATGGTTATACATTTTTACTTTGCACAGGTTATTCTTGTAGTAATATACAATTCTCATCACTAAGGCAATGCTTCAAACAGTATAGCTAACTATCAAAGGAGTACAACAGTAGTTATAATCACTCTGAATGTGTAGTGCTGAAAACAAATTGAAATACATGTTTAAGAACATGATAGATTTGGTTGTTTTATAGATTTTTAATTACATTTTTCATGATGCCTAAGAGATTGGTATTTGAAATGGTATAATTGTTGCTATAAAATATCAATTTAAATAATGGTACAACACAAGAAGAAGCCTTCTTATATCATATGAAATATAATTAGAATATAAACATTAGGTATTAAAATTAATTACAACTCTGCTAGCCATAAGAATAAAAACAGAAAATAAAGTTATTTTTAAGACAAAGTTTAGTGTAAACTACATAGGAACAAATTAACACTTAAGCAAGGTAAGGCGGCTTTCACATTTGAAACTATAAATTGCAATAAATTTCAGGTAATCTATCAATTTACCTTCATATTTATTGATATTGTCTTTTGGTAACACATATTTTTAATTAACTGGGAGATAGTCACTAGCTCTAGTTTGTAAGATTTCGATAAAAGTGATGAAAAATCTCAAACCGATGTCTATAATCTAAGGCAGCTTGGTGTGTGTGTGTTATTGATTTTTTTTTACACATATGATTTCAGTTGATGATAAAATTAATTTATGCTTATGCTATGACAACATTTTATATTTAATAGTAAGGTAGCCTCTAACATTAACATTTAGGAGTGCTAACAATTATCAGCTAACAACCAGTTGGGTTCATTCCAGTAACTTACGTGAACTCAGTATTGAAAGAACCTGTTTTACCATACCCATTTTTCTTCTCTCTCTCTTTCTGTAATCTTATTTGCCTTTATGCTTACATTTGTTAGTATATAAATATTTATTTCCTAAGCAAATGACTTATTAAAAATAACTGTACTTCATCTGTTATGTTACTCTCTTCAAAAACAAAACTGAAAAACTTAATACAGAAAATAGTATATTTTCCTCAAATCAGTAAATGCTCCACAAACCACTTAGATAAAGGTACAGTTGAATCAATATTTGCATTTTCAAATATATTATCCAAACCAACTCAAATTCTAATACATAAAACCTGTAAGTTAAATTTATTTCAAGCAAACTCTCTTTACAATCTTGTTTGAAAAGATTTTCTAAATGTTTTGAATATAGGCAGAAAATGAAGCATTGTTAAGGAGTGAATTAGGAAAAGGTAGTATGTTTTTAAAACCAAAGGATGGGGCTTCAGTCAGACTATCAACCAAGTTTCAAAAGGACAGGTAGGCTTGGTTTTTGTTTGTTTTTATGTTTACAAGTATGAAACAGAGCACATTTTTTTGTTGGAAATTAGATAATAAGTTACCATTTTAAGTAAGATTTTTCATGAGTTGCTGTAGGATATATTGTTTTCCAAGAGAGAGAGAGAATTAAAGAAACAATATCAAAACCATAATAGCATTGTGAAAGAAAAAGGTGTGTGTGTTAATAACATATACTGGGAGAGACAAAAGTGTATTGTTTTATGTTTGTTGGTAGAAAGGTTATTATACCCATCACACACCAGATATTCAGTTGGAAATCCTTTAGATATTTGTTTTGCATGATAATGTGTATTTATCAGTCCTTAGCCTGTACATGACAAATCTCTTCATTGTTAATGACAATATGTACAGCTGATATCAAGGTATCATATATATATGTAATTTACTTTTTTCTTCTGAGGTTTTTGGCTGCTATGTAAAAGATTTGTATTTTTTTAACAAATTTTGAATACAAAAATTTCAATACACATAAAACAATCATAACTATATATTTAGCAAACTTTGTGATGAAGACTATATGTTCAGTGAATTTTTTTAAAATAAGCCAAAGGATAATTACTAAGAAAGAAAGCTCATTTATAACAGCTTGTTTTTTGTTGTTGTTTTTCAAACACTACGTTCCTTTATAATTTTTTCTAAGTACTTCAAGGCAAACAATAGTGTGCTAGCTCTTTCAGAGTTATTCTCCAACAAGACTTACAAAAAATCTTGTGTATATATTATTGTTCTTAATTTAGTACAGCCTAGCAAACTAGTTGAGGATTCATTTATATGCATTTGCCATGAGACCATTGTGCCTCATTAACACATGTAAAATAGGCATAAAAAAACCTCAGGCTACTTAGGATATGCTGTCTGTTTTTGCTTGGTGATCATAACATACTAGTTAATGTGCTCAGACTGCAAATATGAAAGTTCATGGTTTGCATCCCAGTGTTGTATAAATGTGTTCTGAACTTTTGGGCTGTAGGTGTGCCAAAAGAGTGATAATTGAATCCCATTATTCAACCAAGAGTAACCTAAGAGTTGACTAGCTGCCTTCCATTTTGTTTCTCTTATCAAAATTATAGACAGTTTTGTGCAGATAGCTTATATGTATATGTGGCATTTTCAGGTGAACTGATTTCCTCACAAGTAATAGATAATTATGCTAAATAACAGCATGGTCAAACAAGAAATTTTAGTGTAATATTAATTTGAAAAACTGAGTTTTAAGTGGTAAGATACAACTAGACTGCACATATGTGATGCTAATGTAAAACAGTCTATATTTTTACACAAAGCAAAAATGAAACAGTGTTTGATCTTGTATACCGAATAAGTGCACAGATCTCCAGCTTTCTCAAGATAGATCTCTGTCAAACAAATCATGTTAAAAACCTAGTATAACTGTGTAGTACTTACACTGGAGACCTTGGTTTTATTATGTTGTAATAGCATCACCATGACTAGACATTCTCCCACAGCATTTATCAGCTGTGGCATACGCTCGACCAGCAAAGAATGTCTCAATTGTTGGTCCTCGGGTAAAGTAGATGTTATCTGTTATTGAGAGTAATGACATAAAGGCAACTAAAAGGAGGTAATTTCAAATATTTTCTGGACCACATTTTTTTGACAAAACTATGTAGAAACTAATTAATGAAATTTTTTGAACATTCCCATATTGATAAGTGCAGATAGGAAATATATGATATGCCTGCATATCATACATATACTAGCCTTTTTGCAAAAATTCTGAAAATAACAGTTTTTGCTTTTTTTTGGTGCATCTAAACGAATATTCTGATTTAATTCAATTTTAATTTTTGAACTAATGCCTTGATTTTTATTACATAAACCAAGAAAACAAATATAAAATGAGAGAAAATTAGAACACATTTTGTTACTTAATTGTAGGTGATATAAAGTAGACTGTGGCATATAACTACTGCTAACACTGCCTGACATTTGTGATAATTTTATGATTTGATTAGCTGCTATTGGGTAATACCTTAAATGAAAAGAACTACTCAGGAAATTGACAGAGATTAATGTGAAGGATATAATATATACTCTAATGGAAGTGAAGTTAATTAGTTATACTGCATGTAGAATCATTCATATATTGTAAAAGTACAAGTAATTTTACAGTATATATTTTTTATTTTTCAGATAGTTTTTTAATAGATTTCAAATTCTGTCAGCTTCTTAAGTTATATAATAATTTGTTCAAGCTACAGTATTTTGAATATGTCTTAATATTAGGAAAACAATGGTTCAGTATATCTAGGGATTCAATCTATACATGCTTTTATAAATGTTCACAAACATGTATATTACAAATAGAACAGTTTTCAATACTATAAGAAGCTTAGATTCCAATACAGTATCTTACCTCTGCTTACAAAGTAGTTTTTTTCGACTAGCACTGCCCTCTATTGGCACAAATTTTCAATGCACGGCACTAGCATTCCATCTCCTGCTTCTGTATATCAACATGCAAATGATCATACAGCAGCTCTCCATCAATAGAAGCACAACACCATTCCAATCCTAACCAGTGCCCTATTCACATCTACACTCAGTAATCACTTCTTGATTGGCATTAGTACTGTACAGACATGCTGGTTTTTGCTTGAAGATTTGTTGATGTTTTCTGTTATACTACGGACTTCATTTTGTTTTTGTGAAAGGTTGGTTTTATTTATTTTTTCACACTTTTCTTACTTTCTGTCCATCCTATGACCATGATTGATGTTAATTACATTGTAGCCCTTCCTACTGCAGACCTGATGTACCAGGTGTTGGTTGTGTGTCTTCATTTTATTGTTATCTATGACTAAACAATTATGTCACAGGTTTGGGTTATGCACACCATAGAGAGGGGTGTTTCGTAGGACTGCTAGTAGTTCTCTCTAGTGGTTTTTGCTTCACAATCATGTTCTTCTTGGACTGTACACTTATGGACTAACATGAATAAAGTAAACAGAGATTGCTGCTCATCTCCACGTTCCATGGCATTGAGACTATTCCTACTGCGGACTTGATGTACAATTCCAGATGGCGTCAGGTTTTGGTTGATTGACTCCGTTGATGTGCTAGCTCTGCTTTTCAAAATAGGGTATTGTAGTCACCTGTTCCATTGTCTTTGGTGTTGCAGTCCTCCAGACTCACCAACACGTTTTCCCTTTTCTTCTAGTGGAGTATGGGAGTCCTTACCACTGACTATCATGTGTAGATGGCATGAACCCTTCCTACTGAGGACCTAATGTACAATTCCAGATGTCACCAGGTTTTGGTTGAAGCACTCCACCATGTCATGAATATATATATATATTATTGCTGTTTTTCCTCAGGCTGAGATGTTCCTCATCCCTACCATCCTACAGATGTACATTCCTGGTGGGTCTGGTGTTGGTTGGAGATGGTTCAGCTAAGTAAGTCCTCACATGTTTGCTGGCCATTATTTTTCCTCCTACCATGGACTGGGTGACAAATGGCCACTGCCACTAGGTTTTAGACTGGAAATGTACCCCAGGTTTGTGGTCCCTCTTCTTACCATCTGTTTGATGTTGGTTCCAGGCAGATCTGGTGTCTGCTGTAGCTGGATGCAGCATGTTTTTCCATTTGTGTATGGCTGGATATCCTCCTCCTACTGTGGACTGGAAGTACCACGCCCATTGCCATCAAGTTTTGGACTGGAGATGTCATCCTGCCAGATCTTTCCACCTTCCTACCATCTGTTGGATGTCAGTTCCTGGAGGATGTGGTGTTGTTTGTGTTGGAAATGTGCACAAGTGGAGACATATTTTGGTACATTTTGAAGTGAAGAGATAAGTGATCTTCTATCTACTATGGAAATGATGTACCATTCCAGATACCACCTGATGTTGTATGAGGTTGAACTACTACTACGGTCTGTCATGCTCTAGCCACTCGACACCCAGGAGTCCCATTCATCGTTCATATGTATTCTGGGATTCCTTCCTGCTTTTCTGCCTTTTATGTTTGAGACACTGTCATAAAAGAGTGAAAATTATACCTGGATAAGATGTGGTGCAGTCTTCTGCTGAGGTGTGATGTTTTCTCTTTTGGTTCAACACCTACTAGTCTCTCTATGGGCACTTTCTAAATGGGGATCTTTTTTGTTATATGGCCCTCCAATGGTTCATTGTGGGATTCTAACTATTTGTGAGCGGAGGTAAGACATGGTATCAGAAGTTAACATTTTTCTACACTGAAAATGTATTTCCTATAGATAGTTACCTCCTCTCACATTACCCACAGCCTACCCACTTCTGATGGTATATGATGTAGGTCTTCTGACCAATCTCAAAGTGATTAGTGAGTGTAGATGTGAAGAGGGCACTGGTTACGATGGGATGGGTGTCATGCTCCTATTGGTGAACAGCCACTACATGATCATTTACATGTAGAGATGCAGAAGCTCGAGGTGGGAGGCTAATGGTATGCATTTAAAATTTGCACCAATAGAGGACAGTGCTAGTTGGGAAAAGTTATTTTGTGAGAGGAGATAAGTGTCTATCAGAAATACATTTTCATTGTAGGAAAATACCAACTTTTTATTATATTTTTTTACTGTTATAACTGTTAAGTATATTTTATTGTACATATAACACATTCACTTTGTTGGAAGTGTCTACCATTGTATGAAATTTATAATAGTAAGACAGAAATTTAGATGCATTTATAAATAGTCATAAAGATGAAAGTCCACAGTTTTGTGGATGTGATCACTAAACAATTTAACTGATTAAACAAGAGCACTGTCAGAAGTGATCCAAATGTATATCATATAGTTTGACTATTCTAAAAAAAGGTAGACCATGCAATATTGCACAATATGTTCTGAGAATAACTTTAATAATTAGGCCAGATTTATAGGTTGAGTAACATCTAGACATTTCTTTATGTGGCTTCATAAGATCATGCCAATATATCACCCAGAAAATATTTTATTAAGAAAAATGAGTGAGGCATGTTCCTGCTGAAAATGTGTCCTATACAAAAGTGACATTTCTGGTATAGTTCTTTAACAAAAGTGTTCTAAGGCATATCTAGGTACAACTAAGTGCCTTTACATACTGTATTACAGAATTACAGGATGTTAAGAAAATACTACATTTCTTTCCAAATGTTGAATAAGATTTGTACACATTTCTTTTTGGTATCTGTAGTCATTTTCCAACAGCTATTGTAAACTTTCAATGTTCTTGTCACTTGTGAAAAACCATTGCATTATTCACTTGCTATCTTTATCTTGCATATGGCAGCATATCTATGCAAATTAAACATTAAATAAATTTCTGTAAATACTTGTGATCTACTCAGGTCATTACACTTGCATTTGTTTTCATTTCCAGTTTTCTACTGTACAGATGATGAAGTTTCCTCATTATATTTTCATGAATGATATTCACTGAAATTCTCTATACATTTGGATCTTTGATTTAAATTGTCCATCAGCATCATATAAACTCACTCCAGTTAGTTATGACTTGTACACTATAAAACTTTCCAGTTTCATAAAATGTTTTTTGTAAACAGTGATTCAAGCCAGATTTTTGTTTTCCACCTGCTTCAGCTTCAAACAGAACCAAAATTATCAGCTTGTGTGTTCCAAAATTTTTGAATGCTTTATTTTGTTCAATTCTGGTTTGAATGAAATAAAATACTGGTTACTACTGGTGCAGGTTTTCTAGTTAAGTGGAATTATATTGGTGTTCATATGTTTATATTTTCATGAATAGCATTGCACAAATGGCATGAAATACAGATATCTCTTCACTTCAAGGGAAAAGTATGATATTATCTGTTTACATCAAACCCAAGACTTCAACTTTCAGTATAGAAAATAATCAAAATAAATAAATAAGTATCTTGAGATAGCAATATGGTTTTCACTACATGAAAGAACATTATTCATATATATCAAGACACATGGCAGTGTGTTGTGCAGCCAAAACAATCTGCAAGACACACTGTGTGTTACTAACAAGAGTGATAGTTTAGCAATTTACCACTTTCTGCAACTCAGACTGTGGTAATCCAAGCTATCACATGTTCATTGGATGTGCTCTGCTGGACCCCTACTTCACATACTACCAAAATTCAAAGCAATCCATTAAGAAATACATGAGATATAAAATCTCCAATATTAATTGAAGTTATTCCTTTTTTTTTTTTATTCACACCAAAAGTACAGAAACTTTATTTGATAGAAAAACATACTTAACTTTAATGGATTTTTTTCAAAGTAGTACACTGATAGATCTTTACAACCTATGATTAGGTGTCACATTTGGTCTAAATATATGACACATGTGCAAATCTATTCAACAAAAACCACTCAAATTTGACGAAAAGTTTTGCATATGCCTACGCAAAAAGTCACGTGAGCTATCGGTCTAACATTTTTACTACAGCTTCACCTAAGAGTAAAAGTGGACAGTTTTTAGTTTTTGGTCCTTCAGATTAAAGATAGCTGATTTAGAGCAACAGGGTGAAAGTACATGCAGATACATAAGTATTGGTTAGGACAATCAAACTAGATTAGCAGCTTCTAGCTCTAGTTTTCAAAAAAATCATATGGGTGAATGGTTATTATTCATTATTGATTGCCAACTTTTAAGCATAAATTTGCTAAATTTTATGAAATTCTCCTAATTAAAGAGCATTTAGTGTCACATGATATTAGCTTAAGTAATTAGCATAAATAATGATATTTGATATAGCTGTACCAAGTGAATGCAGGTGATGACAAGAAACTGTTAATCTAAATTCCGTGGCAATACTATAATGGAAGTTATTAACACTTTTAAAGAGGAAAAACTACCACCATATATTTTAAAGAATCTGGTT